AAATAAATAAATAAATAAATAAATAAAGTAAGCAATGGCTATAATAGAGTTGTCAGGTCAGGATTGCCGTGGCTGATAAAGATTGGAGGTTGCTGGTAAAGTCACCTGTGATCACTGGTGATTAGAAGGTGCATTTTGTTATTAGAGAGGTATGATCCAAGTCTGGGTGAGAGACAGAGAAGAGTAGTAGGCAGGCCCCCTTGAAACAGAGAATAAAACTGCCCTGAAGTTGAGTAATGGGTCAGTCGGATGGGGTTCCAAATAGGTGTGGAAAGGATCAACATGCTTGTTGTGAATGTGGGGGAAGTTCACAGGCTAGCAAGAGTGGCTTTGGTTTCATATGTCTATGGAGATTCTCAGTCATCCAGGTAATGGTTGTCCCAAAGGTGCTTTTTCAAAAGGCAACTGGACTTTCTTTGTTTTTCCTTGAAGACGTTTCGCTTCTCATCCAAGAAGTTTCTTCAGAACTAAAGAAGCTTCTTGGTTGAGAAACGAAACGTCTTCAAGAAAAAAACAAAGGAAGTCCAGTTGCCTTTTGAAAAAGCACCTTTGGGACTTTGGTTTCATAGCTGGAAGTTGGGATACAATAACAGGAGTTGAAAAGGACTTCATAGTCAGGGTTTCAGAGATTGGCATGATTGGTCAGCTCACTTCTGCTGGATAGGCTGAAGGGAGAAAATTATGCAGAGATGTGAATGTACACACAGGTAGTTTTTGAGCATTTAGAAATGGGAAATATAAATAAATAAATAGTTCTCAACTGTCACTTAATGACAGCTCAAAGTTAGAACAGACTCAGGAAAAGTTACTTATGATCTGGAAAAAAGAAGCTTCCATGCCAAAGCTCCAGCTTCTTTCCAGCCTTACTTGCCTTCAGAAACATGGTTTTTGCTAGTTTTTTAGCCAGAAAGCTAGTGAATCTGATGTTTCTGTGACAAGCCAGAGAAAAGAAGATCCTGAAGATTCCTGAAGATTGAGCACACAGAGGGGAAAGGAACCACCGAGTGGGCCCAAGAAAGGAAGCTTGGATATCAAAGGTCCAAGTTTCCTTTCTCCTGCCCAATGTAGCAGCTCCCTTCTGCACACAGATGGGAGAGGAAGTCCTGCAGTGGGTTTGTTAGACACCAAAAATAGTCACAAATTGAAATCCACTCTGTTTGAGTTACAAATAGAAAAGAAGTTTATTAGACTTCACAACAAAGTTTAAAAGATAACGGTTTGCAAAGCGTGGTGGATTCAGGAAGGCAAAATGCAATATAGCCAAGCACTGAACCACACCCCAAATTCCAAAATCACATATTATTATACATCCTATCAATTCCCTCCCCCATGGCCCCATTGGCTTAGGCTTTGGAGGTTACAATCTATCAGAAGCGCCTAAACAGAATACATTATCTCCGCCCCTGTTTGCTTACATTATACCAGTGGTGGCCAACCTATGGCACGGGTGCCAGAGGTGGCACTCAGAACCCTCTCTGGGGGCACGCGCAACGTCGCCCTAGTCCTAGGCTTTCAGCTGGGTTTTATAAAACCTTTTCGCTTTAAGCCTCCACTGCCGTGTGCAAAAAAAAAAAAAAAGGTTCAATCAATCAGTCAATTTCAACTTCTAGGGGGAAAAAAAAGATCTTGCAAAGTTGGAATTGATTGAACTTTTTAGTCCCACCCAGTCTGCCATTACCAACGAAGCCATGCCTACCCAATGGGTCACACCCACCCAGCACTCGATGATGCATAAGTGGGTTTTGGGTTGCAGTTTGGGCTAAAAGGTTCTAAAAGGTTCGCCATCACTGTGCATTATACTAATAAGATCCCTCCCCTACTATCCTGTTTACTCAGACCATATATGTACATGCTTATCAATTCTAAAAGAGAGATGTCTCCCATCTTCTACACCTGTTAGATCAAGTAGGGTACCAGAAGGTACTTAAAAACAATTCCTAGATGGTGACTCACACTGGACCCCAAAGTAACTCCTGTTCCCCCCACTTGCCTTCACCTGAGGCTTGTATTTTCCCTGTATACTCAAAGCATCTACTCAGGCAATTGATTATAAAATGATAATTATAAAATATAAAATATGATTACATGATAATACTAAAAGTATATATTTTTATTTTTAAATGTCCTAGCTACTTCCAGTTTTTTCCACAGGCTGGAGAAACAAAGCTCAAATCTTTGGTATCTGAGTTTCATTTCTCTAGCTCAGCACAGGAGTTCCCTTCCAAACCTGAAAAGGAGTTGCCTACACCCTCTTTAGGGTTAACGACCCAAACGGTCCCTTAAAACCACAATTGGGAGAGCTGGGATTGCTGTTGTTAAGCAAACTGATCAAGTGAGCATCTAGCTTAACTATTGCAAAATCTTACAAGCCAAATTCTGGGCCCAATTGTGGTTGTAAGTCAAGTGCTAGTTATACTGCAGTCGTGATGGGCCAGGGGAATTATGACAGGGAAATTGTGGAGGCTCTGTGTTAGCCATTTCAGAGGAAGGGGATTTGTTAATCTGATGCCAGTCCAATTTTCCAGTCCTCCAGCTTCAATCTTGGATTTAGGCAGATATGTTGCTAGTGATCTCATTTGGTTGTGAATGAGCATAAAAACTTGTGCGTGTTAGTGAAACACAGTTAAGCACAGTTAAGGACAGGGATGTGGCCTGTTTGAAATTTGCTCTCCTAAGCTTTGGGTTCTTTAGCAGCTGTGAGATCAAGGCAACCAGAGAGAAGTAATCAGAGTCCTTGCTCTGGCTGTGAATGGAGGTTTTGCTCTGTCTGTTTATTATTGTAACTGTACTTTTTTTTCATTAAAATGCTTAAACTGCCCAATAGCCAAAGCTCTCTGGGCAGTGTACAATAAAACACACAAAAATATCAACTAAGACATGTATGATAATACCAAAATACAAAATAAAAAACATCATATAAATTAAAAGCCTAGTACTGAAAAGCCAGTTAAAATCCTGGGAAAATAAAATGGTCTTCACCTAACACTAAAAGGATGATATTGTGGATGCCAGTTGAGCCTCTCTGGGGCAGAAATTCCTAAGACACATAGGGCCCTAAAGGTTAAAATCAACGCTTTGAATTGCTTTGTGGATGAGGATAGATATTGTGGAGAAAGTTTATGTGTTTGTTAAGAGTTGACACTGAGGACTTAATCAAGCAAGTACCCAGATAATGTAAAGGAAAATAAAGAGTGCTGATTAAATCTGACAATATGTTACTGATTTTTTTCATTCTTTTTTTTTTTACCTCAGGGGTTGTACTTGGTCTATCATCCTGTCCAGCTTACTACCAGTTATGCAGTTGGAATTCTTCTGCTGGGTTTGGTGGGCTACTATATTTTCAGAATCGCCAATCATCAGAAAGATCTCTTCCGTCTCACTGATGGCAACTGTAAAATATGGGGTGAGAAACCCAAATATATTGAATGTACCTACACATTAATCAATGGAACTAAACACTACAATAAATTGTTGGTTTCAGGATTCTGGGGTGTGACCCGCCATTTTAACTATACTGGAGACTTGATGGGCTCCCTGGCATACTGTCTGTGTTGTGGTTTTAATCATATTCTTCCTTATTTCTACATAATTTTTATGATCATTCTCCTGGTCCACCGCTGCATTAGAGATGAACATCGATGCTCCCACAAGTATGGCAAAGACTGGAAAAGATATACTGATGCAGTACCATACCGACTCATTCCAGGGATTTTCTAAATGCTTATTTTAGACTTAAAATATTTTGCAAAAACAAGTTTGCAGATACATTTATCAGCAGTATTTTTGGCGCATATAAGGGTGTATGATTTGCTTACTTCTTAATACGTTAAAAATAACATTTAACATAAAATAAAATGCGCATTATATAAAATTTTAAAAGTTATGTTTGTTTTGTTTTTTTAAAAGTTTCTTTTGGTACTGAATTGTTTTGCCTCCTCTCCACCCCAAATAAAAAAAAACCATCGAGTAATTTCAGTTTTACTATTCTGGCTAAAGGGAAATTGTGATCTATAACTGACAAGATTATGTATATTGCCATTATATTCCCATTATTGTACTTGCATTGAAGATTCTGGAGTCTTCAACACCCTCTAAATCCATACATTTCCATTTTGAAAATGATTTGAATAATGATAAACAGTTCAATGAAAGTTTTAACAGACTCTGCATCCAATGTAAAATAGGCCAACAGAATGTTAGGGATAATAAGTCATGGTATCAAAAATAGAGATGCCAATCTCATAATGCCCTTTTATAAATCAGTGATGCAACTCTCTGGAATATTTTGTACAGTTCTGGTCACTGCACCTCAGAAAGGATACAGTGGAGCTAGAAAAGGTTCAGTGGAGGGCAACTAAGCTAATCAAGAGACTATAGAACAGCTTCCCTTAAAATACTAAAAAGAACAAAAACCTGGCACCAAATCAAACTTCTAACGTTCAGATTATCTCCCATTTGGGGGGGAAAGCCAGGTCTTCAAAGCCTTATGGAAGGCTAGGAGGGGAGAGGCCTGCCAAACTTAGGGGCTCCCATCAGATGGCAATATTTAAGGAAAGGAATTAGGAGTGTGCCCACCCTATCTGACCTAGCAGGACAGTTAGATTTCCTTAGAGTGACGATGGCATCTTATTTTGTACCAAAACAGCATACAGCACTTTGCAAGCCTAAACAGCAAACCCACGTTCTTCAGTGGGATCCCAAATAAATAGCATCAGGCTATATAGCACATAAGGGATATAAAACTGCATCCTTCTCCCAGTGTCTCAAAATTATGAATATCCCTTTCAGCTCAATGACCTTTGAGTACAGATAGTCAGTGCTTTTTTTCTAAAAAAAAAAAAAAGGTACACATCATACAACCCGCCTTGCCTACCCTACAAGGTTCCATCCAAAAAAGGTGCCGGAACTCCGTTCTGGGCGTTCTATGAGAAAAAAAGCCCTGCAGATAGTCCTCGACTTATGACCACAAATGAGCACAAACTTTCTGTTGTTAAGTGAGACATTTGTTAAGAGAGTTTTGCCCCATTTTACGACCATTCTTGCCACATTTGTTAAGTGAATCACCTCAGCTGATAAGTTAGCAACCCAGTTGTTAAGTGAATCTGGCTTCCCCATTGATTTTGCTGGTCCAGGTCACAGGTCATCACATGACCCTGGGACAGAGCAACCGGTCATAAGTATGAACCAGTTGCCAAACATATGAATTTTGATCACGTGACCGTAGGGAAGGGATGCTACAAAGATTGTTAAGTGTGAAAAACGGTCCTAGGTCACTTTTTTGAGTGCCCTTGTAACTGTGAATGGTCACTAAATGAACCGTTATAAGTCGAGGACTACCGGTTCATTCAGTCAGAGAAGAAGGGGGCTCTTTGGCTTTAGCCACACGTTCTCAGGAGGCCATTTAAGCCCTTCCTTCCTTTTTATTGCTATTTTAAAAAAAGGGTTCGTTACAGTTGCAAGTCTCCTTCCAGCTCTGAGGGAAGCTGGGTATTTACTCTGCAATTTTAATCCTCGGCAACATTTATCTGAAGCTCCCCACTGAAAGAGGGGCGGGGAGAAGGGCTGTCACCCCGCCACCGACTGCAAGCCACCTCCAGGCCGCCAGGGGCCTGGTTCAGAGTCCCGGCTCCGAGTGGGCGTGGCCGGAGCTCCTCCTTTTCTCTTTCGAGGGGGCCTGTCCGAGGGTGTGTTTCTGGCCGTAACCAGGAAGTCGGACCAGGAAACTCCTGGGAGCGCCGGGCGAGCGGTGACTCTGGACCGCTGACCATGGAGGGCGCCGGCCGCGAGGTAAGCAGCTAACGGCGGGAAGGCGAGATGAAGGAGAGCCCGAGAGGAGGCCTAGAAGTAAGGCAGGAAGTACAAGGGTGTTCGCTGCGTTTCAGTCCCGCTGGTTCCCACGTGATCCTCGAAGGAGTTTGGGGCCAAGGTTGAACGCGGTTCTTCCCCCCCCCCAAAAGTCGAGGTCAGCCACCGATCTCCGGCACTTTCCCAGCTTCATTTGTAGAAGGATTGTCAGGGTGGGAGCTACAACTAATAGAAGCAGATGGGCACAACTTCGTTACCCCCCTTTATTTCCGGGCAGGTGTACTTAGCACAGGAAAGTTTATTTAAATCCCCGAATGAGAAAGGAGGGGTTAAAAGAGGCGGTGTCGGGGGAAAAAATGTGCTCAAATTCATTGTAGGAGATCTGCTTTGGGAGATCACTCGCCTAGGGAGAAATTATGGATTAATGAAGTCCCACTATGATGAACTGCTTGCTTGCCCCGTCTCCATCCCAGGATGGAGATTCCCAGTCATCCAAAGGCGGTTGGAAGTCTTCCTTTCTGAGATCCCGAAGGCAACTTTTTCAAAAGGCTTCCTTTGTTTTGGCTTGAAGATGAGAAGCGAAACGGCTTTAAGCAAAAATAAAGAAAGTCCAGTTTCCTTTTGAAAAAGCCCCTTTGGGATCTCAGAAAGGAAGACTTCCTACTGTACGTGCAGTCCCAAACCCAACTTGATGCGGGGTCTAGCCTGCCTATATGCCTCCACATGGAGAGCTGTGATTCAGTTTTCCTGATTACAGGAAATTCACCGGATTTGACAAGAATATCAGCAGGTAGAAAAGTCAGCACCACATAGACAGAAATAATTAGTGGGGTTTCAACACAAATGTTTTTTATGTATAGTTATTGAGACCCGAAGACCCTACTGAGTCTACTAGATCTTTTGATTACCATACTGAAATCTTGAAACAAATATTTAGCTGAACAAGGTATCAGGGTGTCTGTCTTTTAAAAAATAATTATAATGTTTGAAAAGATTATTTCCTCTTGCCATGATTGGGAATATATCAAATACAACTATGAAAGGTAGCCTTATCTTTTAAAAATGAAAATTATCTGACTTAATAGTATTTGTATTACTGTTTCCAAAAATTATTTTCATGAATGATTTTTGCTACCTCAGGTAGCAAGGAATTGTTTTTTGAAGCCAGGTATCCCCAAAAGTGTTTCTGTGGAAAAGAATGGCTCACACTTTGATATGAAAATTTCCTGGTATTAAACTAAGCAGCAATAGTTGGCCCATATGCTTCTCTTGGAGATGTCAAGATAATCTTTTTTAGTTACAAGACTTACCTAATAGAAGGGAAAAGTTATTTAGTAAAAGCTTTTTAAAAAAATTGTCAGTCACATCACTGCCCTGCCTTGCCCTAAACATTATTTATTTTGTGATTCTCTCAAGGCAGCAGTTTGTTATTTCCGGTAACTATCTAATAAAGTGTTAGCCACCTGATGTAAAAAATAATTAAGATGCTCAACATCACATTTTGAGTACTACTGAATAAATGCATCAAACAAGACTAAATTGCTCACTTTGGTTAAGGCCTAATATCATGCAATTGTCACTTATATGTTTCATCTCAAGGCAGGTGCACACCAAGAGTAATTAATTTATTCAGGTTCCTTACAACACCATTCAAAGGACAGTTGACTGATTTTAATTCAGTTTCCTAATTGAGCAAGTTCCTATTTGTGAATGCTGAAATTAATTCCTTTGTTAGCGAAATAGCATGGGATCTGTCGGTGCAGTTGCAAAATCATTTGTTGCTTTGGTGGTATTTGTGATGCAATTGGGGTATTTCCACAAAACCAACATTAGGATCAGAAAGGAGATTTTATTCAGAACCATAGTTGAGAAGAAAACATGTAACTTTTTATATATTGTTGGCCCTTATTTTGAAGTAAAATTGGCCATTAATTTGGGCTTGGGCTATGTTGTTGTATGAGTTACTCTTTCCATTATCCCATTATGTTACTCTTTTTAGGCATGAATTCCCACTGATCTGTTTTTCAGGCTGGTAGGAACTGTGTCTGCCCCTACACTTTGTTCACATCTTTTCCTAGGATTTCTGTAAAAGGACAAATAAGCATATTCTATTAGAACATAATTGAATGTGGAGTTTTCTTTGTGGTATATTTTTCTCTTTTTGTATTTATGGTAATCATTTAATAACAGAATGATATCCCAAGGCACAAAAACGCAGTTTCCTCATTACTTGCAAGAATACAATTTGTACTGGCCTAAATTTTGGATCAAGAAATGTATTAATTCTTTATTTTAATTTTCAGTGTCAAAGTCACAGCCATGGGCCCTTTCGTCATCATGGCCACACTTGGCCTAATTCGTATGAAGATAAAAATGTATCAAAAGAGCATGACATGCTGCCTTTTGTGGAGGACTACAGTAATTGTGACATTGTCAAAGCAACTCAGTAGGTTTCTTGAAACATCACATTTATTCTTATACCACGATTATAAAATACAAATCAAATGTTAGCCAAAGTATTTTATAGGAAATAAAATATAGGAAAGTGTGTGGATATAAAAGAGGTTGTTAACAGAGAATATAACTGTGAATGATTTCTACAGCTGGAAAAAAGTCTATTTATTGTAGAAAAATAACTTTTTCTAGGGCTTTGTGAGAAGAAGTTAGTATTTACGTTTGGTAAGCTGAGATATCACACTGAATCACAATATGGTTTGGTTTGGTTTACTCTTTTATACAAACCCTTCCATTGCAATTGTAAACCACAATGAAGTTTTTGTACAGATGTAGCGTAGTTTGCATAATAATATCTTTACCATGATTTGGAATGGCAAAGTGTATTCCTAAGAAATATGAACACACCTATAGTTGAATTAAGTAATAATTTTAAAACCTTCATTTATAAATGTTAAAAAGTTAGATCAATATTT